AAAAAAAAAAAAAAAAAAAAAAAAAAAAAAAGAAAAAGAAAAAAAAGAAATGGCTAAGAATTGAGGACTGTAAGACATTTCTTGCAATATGCCATCTCTCATGAAGGAGCATGTCCTTAACTGTGCTCTCTGAAATGCACTATGTCCTTACCTGTAACGGATGGCTGGATTATAGACTCCTTTCAGTTCTAGAGCTACTCTTCTCATGTAATATACAGCAAAAAATCTATCAAATCAGCATGATCATGTGATATCTGCAGATTAGATGTTCCTCCTACAAATGCCCATGGTTTAGCTGGCTATCCCTGGGTACAGCAATTATTACACTATTTTATTTTTAAAATCAAGTTTTCCTGTGTTCTATTTGCTCCAGTAGACTGAGAGCTCCCAGAAGTCATGCAGGATGAAATATTTAGTTTCTTTTTAAATTCCTAGAGACTAATCTAATACATAAAAAAACACTTAATAAAAGCTACTGAGTGAAGAAATGAAGATCACACTGAAAAATCTTTCTTATAATTGCAGCTCTTCTAAATGTTACTTTTTTTGCCCTTGGATATAGCAGTATGTAGAAAGAGTCGTACTCTAATTCAGTAGTGAAGGAGACATAACTTCTAGGGGTTGCTGATAAACAAATGAAATTGCCTATAACCTGATACATAATCCCAAAATCTTGTTTACTTCAATAATTATCATTATAATTTTATAAAATATGATTAATAAAAAGTAAAATATCTTAGGCCTGAGTCTCAACCACACCTCAAAATTAAAGTACATTATATTTAACCCACAGTACAATTGGTCAATACAAGGAACACTTCAGTGACAAGAAAACACATCAGGTAGAACTTTGTTCTGTATTATCAAAGAATCGAAGTAAAACTATGTAAGGTAAGAACATTCAACTGAGTAAACAAATTAAAGTCTAATCATTTTACTATGAAAGGGCACATAGTATTGAAAAACTACAACGGAACTTGCCAAAGAGAATACCATTCAATGAGAATGTACATAAAGTACTCCAAAAACAAAACTGTGTAAGTAGGTGTGTATCTTTATCCCAAATGATTATATGGTAACACTTCAAAATGTCCCAATACCAAATGTCAAAATACCAAATGCTTTTAAAGTATGTTTATGAGTTGTATTAAGAGGAGGAAACACAGTGTTTCTTACTCAGCTAGGTATTCTGTCCATATTCTTGCTGTCAATTCTCCTATTTCCCTTTAGATCTCCCCGACCCATGAAATACAATGCATGTGATAATTTGCAATAGTTCTCAAACCCATCTTGTCCTCTCTTCTCATTTCTTAATCTAGAATTGTACTAGGCAGTATGCTAGCACAGGCCTACTTAATTTTCTGCCTTCCATTTCTTCCCTTTCAATCAATTTTTCACAATTTTCCTGAGGTTAATATTTAAAATTCTGAGTCTGATCATGTCACTCTTCAATTTAAAATCCTTCAGTAATTCTCTAAAGTACAAATATCTAAACATGGCAGCTGATATTTATTAGGTACTTGTGTGCCAGTTACCAGTGTTACCTAATTTAAATCTCACAACAATCCTACAGTGTAGATATTTTCATTATTCTCATTTTGCACATTTAAGGAAATTGAAACTTAAGGAAATCATATATAGACACACAGCTAGTGAGTGAGTGCAGCTAAAATTACCCAAGCCTTAAAATTGTGTCTATGGTATTCCTTTACAGCTGCTCCCTCTCACCACTAACCAACAAACCCTGCCTTCCAGCCACACCAAACCACCTAAGGATCTGTAGCCATAAGATGCTCTTTCAGGATTCCTTACCGAAGTGCACACTACTCCCTTGACTCAAAATGCTACTTGTTCACCATGGGAATTCTCTCCAAAGAATTTTTCCTTTCTTTCCCACCTTGCCTAGGGAAAATCCCCTGGGCAGAATAACATAAACCAAAATGATACCTAAATCCGACTATCAACTTCAAAATGCTACAATACAGAGTACCCAAATAGATTTTCCAAGGTAATGTCCAGGTGACAATCTACTGCCAGCCTCATAAACCCCTAAATTCATCAGAAAGTAAATAAAGATCAACAATAAAGCAACATGTATTCAAAAGGTAACAGTAAAAAAGAAAAAAGAAAGCAACAGCAAAGCTAATTTTAAAAAACCCTAATGATTTTGTAAAATATTCACAAAATATAAATTCAGTTATTTTGAAATATGTGCAAAATCATTTAGAATAAGGGAATCTTAAGCTTTCAAGTAGAAAATTACTGCAAATTTGGACTTTTCTTTGACGGCACAAATAAGACAAATACTATCTAAGAACTACTATTAGCAAACCAAAAAAAATTTCAAGAGACTAAAGAGCTCTTCTACAACTATGCCTGGGTCCAGAAAATAAGTCTTCAATACTAAACAGCTTGTGCTTATGAAACATATTAAATGATGCAGAGCTACAGTGATTATGTTACCACATCTCAACCATCAGCACATTATGCCAGTATCTTCCAGGAACATGAAACAGTGATATCAGGAGTTTCTCCTGGGTATTAACTGACAGTTAAACAGCATCTCTTCACATACTACTCAAATACATTAGGATACAATTCCACATACTAATACTCGAATTTTGTCTATTTCAGTCTCAAGATCTTCCTGTAGTTGATTGCTTTTATATTGTCATGTAGATAAAGAAGGACCTAACATTTTATGTGCAAACTTTTAATCTTTTCTTGCTTTTTCCCTGTAATACTAACACATCATCTACTTAAGCTTTAAGTAAATTTTTTGTAAAAAGTAAAAATTACTTCATAACAATGTCATCTAATTGAGATATTTAGGAAATTGCCCTTTAATGGATACAGAATAATTAGTCTGTGGTTTAAGCCCTATTCTAGGGTAGTCAACTCAAAACTATATTTTGTGTTTGGCATTCCTTCTGGCTATAACCAAAATGCATTTCCTGAATATGTGTTCCATATAATACCCAGGACCAGGCAAGGACAACACTAAATGGGCTTCTTATACTGGTGACTCCAGATGTTAGACCTAGCCCAAGGAAACAGTAAAGAGAATGAAGAGAGAAGAGATAACTCACCAAAACTTGACAACATATGGAAAATGAAAGATAAGAGAAGTCTGGATTACTCCCAGGTGTATAATTTGGGCAACTGAACGACTGGCAGTATCATCAACTAAAATGGGAAAATGAGCTGAATAAATGAACAAGAGACAACAAAGACAGCTGGAAAATAAGAGGTATAAAGAGAAACAGGGCCAGGCACGGTGGCTTATAGCTATAATCTCACCACTTTGGGAGGCCAAAGTGGGTGGGTCACTTGAGGTCAGGGAGACCAGCCTGGCCAACATGGTAAAAACCCCGACTCTACTGAAAATACAAAAATGGGCTGAGTGTAGTGGTAAGTGCCTATAATCCCAGCTACTTGGGAGGCTAAGGCAGGGAGGCAGAGGTTGCAGTGGGCGGAGATTGCACCACTGCACTGGGCGACAGAGCGACACTGCCTAACAAAAAAGGGAGGAAGGGAAAGAAAGGGAAGACAGAGACAGAGAGAGAGAGAAAGGGAGGGAGGGAAGGAGAGAGAAACAGGAGAGTGATGCTTTGGAAGACAAAGTGTCAAGAACATGGGCATGATGGTCTAAGGTTTACAGTGGGTTTAACAATTAGGAACTATGTCAACAGATACAGTTTCAGTAAATAGAGGAAGCAAAGGTAAAACCTGGGGGGAGAATTAGTACAAAATCAAGGCAAATAAAGAACGTGTGAAGTGTGTTTGGAACAGAATACAGAAGAGTTTTGCTGGATGAAATGTTCATGCAGCAGAAGACAAGAAAAAGTCTGAGTCAAGGGCTTTGAATTCTAGAGTTTATTTTTGGAGTTCATTCTGTGAACAGGAGAAAGAAAGGCATGTAACTTTTTTTTCCTTTTTAAGACAATTTTCTGATGACAGGGTGCATGAGGAACTGGAATGACAAGAGTTAAGGCAGGAGGACTAGCTACTAAAAGGTCTTACAATTATCTAAACATAGTAATAAGGACCTGAAAGAGATTGGCAGTAGCCAAAGTAAAAAATAAGGAATATTTGAAAGAGATATTCTTTATTCCCAGGCTGCCTTTGATACTGTGATACGATAATATGTTACATATATATTTGGTCCCTGCCCTGGTTCAGGACACACAGCTCCTAAAACCCATGGAATCTCCCAAGTGATGAGTGTCTTTTGTATGCTAATGAGGACTGCTAGCTGGGAACCCCTAGTTAACCACAGGATGGAAGCTGGTCACCAGAAAGACCAGGTCATGAGTATAGGGTTGGGACTTTTCAGCCCCATTCCCCAACCTACAGGGAGGGGAAGGAGACTAAAGGTTGAGTTCATCACCAATGGCCAATGA